ATTACAAATGGTGTGATGCACTGAATTMTTTTTCAAATTTTAAGCTTGCACAAGAAATCCAGATTGAGAGTTAGAGAACAGCTGTTTTTAAAAAAGCTCTTTATTTCCAGACACAGAAGATGAAAAGGTGATAGCATTATTAATTGTGCACATTTGTGTTTGAATGCATCTATCTGTCTGTTAATAAAATATGTCATGAACAATTGGATAGATTTTTTATCACTGAATGCACATCTGCAAATAATCAACTTTGGAGTCAACATAATTCAATACGGCCACAGTGGCTAAATAAACCTAGCCAAATTTAGCCAACATAAAAATKAATGTACCTTTTGCAGATTTTGTGTAAAAATTGTATGTTCTTTCTYAACTAATATGTTTGGTTTCAATTGATATGCATTTATTTAAGGAATGCTTGACCTCTATAACAGTTTTTAATATTAGCTGCCCTTAAAAAAGGCATTTTATATATGGTCCACAATATTCTTGCACGCTTACACATATAATAATGAGCATTTTATTTTATTTTTACACGYAGCCATTTTACTCACGCATACATTTCCCGGCCAAAAAAATAACATTGCCACCTAGATTTAACTAAGGTCTATGATGTGGGGTTGTTGCAGTTGGTCAGGTGTAGTTTCAGCAACAGTTTGTGCTCAAAGAATGAGGTCAGCTGACTACCTGAATATACTGAATGACCAGGTTATTCCAGCAATGGATTTTTTTTCTTCCTGGATGCCACGGGCATATTCCAAGATGACAAGGCCAGGATTCATGGCTGGAATTGTGACAGAGTGGTTCAGGGAGCATGAGACATCATTTTCGCACATGGACTGACTCCACAGAGTCCAGACCTTAACCCCAATGAGAATCTGTGGGATGATTTGTGCAGCGGTCAGACTCTACCATCATCAGTGCAAGATCTTGGCGAAAAATTAATGCAACACTGGATGGAAATAAATCTTGTTGCAGAAGCTTATTAAAACAATGACACAGTAAATGTGTGCCRTRATCAAAGTCCAATGAAATATTAATGTGACTTTTTTTGGTGGTAACTTCTTTTTTGGCCAGGCATTGTATGATTCAGTATCCTTGGATTTTTAACAACTATCCTGCTGACTGATGAATGATTTCTCCATCACCTGAGMCTCAGCTCCTGCTGGGTTTATTTTTATGTGTAAATGTAGAGTCATACACTATTATGCAGCCGGGGAGTCTGTAAATATTTGCCTCCCCCTTCTAATAAGATAGGATTAGAGACATGTGCCAATAAACAAATAGAGGAGGAACAAATTAATTAGTTCAGTAAATAGTCATGAAGCTTTTTATTTTTTGGCATTCTGTTTATTTTTCAGTTTAATAGGGCAATTTAAAATGAGATTATGGTCATGATTTTACTTCATGCTGTGAAATATGCCTGAACAGTGAAACCTCAGTCAGTTTTTACAGACATTGAGCTAATACAGTATATCTGAGAATAATGCCTCACATGTTTGCAGAAAACCTTAGTATTACCTTTTGAATTTAACCTTGTTTGTTAGCAAAATATATCATGAACCACTGGACTTAGTTCAATAAAACTCTCAAAGTAATTTTTAACTCTACATTTCTAATTAGGGCTGTGTATTGACAAAATTTTGGTGATATGATACATATCACAACACAGGTCACAATGCGATATACTGTACTGAGATGATGTAAGAAAGACTAAATTTTGCCCTTTTTATTTTCTCCAAAAAATTCTAAATTGGGGCGGCTTTGGCGGAGTGGTTAGGGCAGTCGTCCTGGAACCAGAAGGTCGTCGGTTCGATCCCCCCATCCAGCTGTCTCAGTTGTTGTGTCCTTGGACAAGACACTTCACTCCCAATGCCTCTGACGTGTGTCCCATCAGTGCATGAATGTGATTGGCACTGATTAGTCTCCATAAATTATTGTACATGTTACTTTTCTAGAGACATAATAGAGTGTTGTGTGAATGGGTAAATGAGGGCACGAGGGCTTCACAGTGTGAAGAGCTTTGAGTGTCCTGATGGATAGAAAAGCCCCATATAAGTACAATCCATTTAATTAAAACTAAATCTGGTGCTTTTAAGAATCAATATATTATCAATAAAATTAAATATTGTGATAATTCAGTGTTTCAACACCCTTATTAATAAGTGAACAATATTTGGAGGCAACTCGATTCCAAATAGCTGTCACAGCTCACGGACCTTAACCTAAACAAAAATGGCAGTACCTCAGTGAATTTTATATATATTGAACTACAATTTGGTGAGTGGTAGTAGCTGAGTCATTTACTGCACCTGTCTGTTTAAAAACACAAATGTATTCCAATCATTGAATAGATTGCAACCTTTTTTGCTCTTTCTAAAACTAAATTTAGCTGTGTAATGCCAGAATAATTTGAACATTTGAAATTTATTTTAGCTACTATGTGGGGCAACAACAAGAACTACAGCACTGTGTTGTTGTTTGTAGAGATGCACCGATATGAAGATTTCAGCCGATATTGATATCCGACATAATTATTGCTATTATGGCCGATAACCGATATTTACCGATATTACACAAAGACACAAATAATATTATACATATACACACAAACAGACTTGGGTCTTTTTATGCTACTGTAAATAAACGACCAAACCTCTGACATGGCTCCTTACTTCAGTCATTCCTAGCTGCGCAGCATCAATACCACTATCATGATCAAACAGATGCCACTCAACCAACCATTTCCCCTCCCTAAACAGAAACTAAAGCTAAAAAGTGGAGAATCAATATAGGACGTTAATATCCGCCCAGTTTTACATATCGGACTGACCGATATGTAGCAATTATCGGGTTTTATTTAGTGTACTGATTATAATCACACTACACATAGCCTATTTTGTTTTATGATAGAAGTGTAATGACTGATAAATGTGATTTATAATTAACTGGATGATTCTATTTTTTATAGCCACATACCTGGTGCCATATAACACATATGTGTACTTTTAAAATCATTAGGATAGCTTTTTAATTGTTTGTGGGCATGTCTCTGACCAGAATCATAGGGACCCCTCCTGATCGATGACATAATTATGAGGCGGAGTCATGCCCTGAATCTGGTGTTAAAAACTCTGTCACTTCCTTGTTTCGGTCTGATTCCTGGGCAGTATTAAACAGGTTATCAGCAGAGCGCTCTGGTGTCTGCATGGTTCACTCTCAGACTCAAATTATATCGCACATTCTCTCATGATTTCGCACACATCCTGGTAACAAACGTGTAGTAATATCGATTTTCTTTCAGATTCTAATAAATGACCAATATCGGCCGATGCCAGTATTAATGCAGATCTATCGTGCATCCCTAATTGTTGTTTTTTTTCTCTCTCTTATTTTGTATTTCTTGTCCTAATGAAGTATTTTCTAAAAAAATAAATACATTTTTAGGGTATAGAGAAATTCCATTATATAGATAGGTTGCTTCCAGGTCAATTCTTTCATGTCAGCATTACTCTACAATAGTGGGGAAAAAAGTGTCTCCAAATCGACTGAATTCGACCACTCTTTTTTTTTTACGCTCTCGTTTGCAATAAGTTTCTTTGCACTTCAGCTGAAAGGCTCTAGCTTTTATTTCTTGATGTTTATGACACTGATAACCTCACGCATGGCCTTGGTCACAAAGTAAACACACATGTTGACTAGGGCTGCCACGATTAATCGATTAATCGACGACTAATCGATTATTAAAATAATCGATGACTAATTTAATAATCGATTAATAGTTTTCTTTTTTTTTGTTCTTTACTTTGTTTTTCTCTCCAAACTGCTTTGACACCTTCCACTGCCACGTCTGCCTTTCTGTCCTTGACACACATGCACAGTAGTGGTAACTGGGGTAGGCCGTGGACGTCACAAGACATTATACAGACAGGCTCTGGTATCATGGCTACCTGACAACGGAGCTCAAAAGTGTGGGATCATTTTAAGAAAATGAAAGAGAAACCTGTGCAATATCTGTAAGGCAGAACTTGCCTTCCACAGCAATTATTTTTAGTTAGCATATAGCTAAAATCTAACCATGGTTATATAATAGCAGCTGCATTCTGACGCGATAAGCTGTATGTTTTATATTCAATTAACGAATGATCCGATTAGTCGACTAATCGAATAAATAATCGGTGATTAATCGATTATTAAAATAATYGTTTGTGGCAGCCCTAATGTTGACCACCATGTCCTGCAAGGACCTGCAACAAACCCCTCACAAGTTTTATTCCCATTCTCCCACTATAAAAACATTACTGARCCTCTGAGCAACGCTGACCTTCTTTTACTAGATAATGATGTGACTGAAGGACACAGAATAGTGTTTAACTTGCCTTGAATGAAGTGGGTTTTTTAGAGCTTTTTGAAATTGAATCTAAATTGTCACATTCTGTCAAGAAACAGTGTCTTTSTTTGAGGGGTCTCCTAAGAATTGGGTCTTTCAGAAAGTTTGTGAGAATGGGGTCTTTCAAGTGGAGCAAAGGGGAACAGAATCTTTCAATCCACAGACAGTGAATGGTTAAATGGAGACTCGGGCAGTGTTTGAATGGGTTGGTCAGAATGGGAGCTTTGTGCACATTTCCTGAGATAAGCCAGATGGGAATCACAGGTTGTTCTGGCTTAGGTAAATGCAGAATAGTTTAGCATATCTTACCTGGCATGTTGTTTTCTGTTTTTTGTTTTTTGTTTTATTTTCCTGTTTGTCATTGGTTATAAACTGTCACGACTGGATGCTTTTAGAGACAAGACTCATGGCAGGTTGTATTGTCCTTTCAGGAGACTGAGACTGATAGAAGGGAGGGTCAGGCAGAGCTTTACACTGTGGCTTTTGTTTACAGGGAAGGTAACCTGAGGTTGAAATAGGAAGTCGTTTCAGTAAGTGATGTCTGCAGGCTGTGGAGCACCTGCAGCCTGGCAGCAGGTGAAGTCAGCATGAGAGGGAAGTTGCTCTTGTGATAGTTCTGCCAGCCTTCATGGAGCAAATGTGGCAGAAGAGGAGGAGGAGACAAGGAGGAACATGGGACAGAAGGATGGGAGGAGAGCTGGTGGAAGATTTGGGCTTCTTCATGGATGAGGAAGCTGAGTTTGTTGGATGTAGCATAAAAGCCAACTTAGAGCTGCCTGGAACAGAAGAGAAGGCTGTGGAATCAGACAGGAAGGAGCTGGGTTTGTTTGCCTTTACAGAACCTGCAGCATTTCAGCTGACTGGTAAAGATAAAACAGAGGAGAGTCCGGGAGGAGATGAAAGGAGCCAAGCTGGAGATGATATTGCTGTGTCAGAAGAAAATAAAGAGACTGAGCCAAAAGAAAGTGTACAGATGGATGATGAGACTGAGGAGACCAAAGASAAAAAGTTGGATGAAGAACAGGGTTTGTGTTTGGGTCCTGGAGACGGGGCCGAGTGTCATCATGTTCGCATTTCTCTTCAGGAGGTTGAGAGCTTCTACAGATTCTCGTGTYGCTGTCACTGGATCTGTGGTGGGTGTCTGATGTTTTATCATTTTTAGGTTCGTTCAGTCCTCTTAATGATTTATTTCTCTAATCTGTTAAAAACAGGAACAGTGGCCTTATAAAATCCACACTTAATTCTGATTTGCTCTTTTTCTTTTTCTCAACTTCAGGTAAGATTAAAATATGTACGTCTGTCCAATTTTCAAGCCTTTTTTTTACCCATGTATACATTTTCATTATGGAAGTAAACATTATATGTAAATCCATGGTTTATAGTAGATGTATTATTTAATATATGATTAAATTAGTCATTTGCATCATTTATCTTTCTCTTTAAATTTAGTTTAAGCCTATACCTTATTTTACAATTTTCTAGATATACACAGTTCTGCAACCTCAACTCTCTCACCCTTTGTGTTCTTTCATATAGCTTGAACTTACCGCTCACTACTCACCACTTTCATCTCTCCTCCTTTTCATCGTTCATGCCCACACCCAGTTAATTCTTCCCTTCTGCGCTATTTTTTTTTTTTTTTTTTTTTTGCTGTCCCTTCTACTAATTATGTAATACAGTAATTTGGTTTTACTTGGTTTTGACATTTAAATTTAATATATTTTGATACTTTGCAAACACTGACAAAAACTTACCCCAGTTTTTATTTCAAATGTCAGGATGACAGATAAGATGCTGTAATTTCATGCAAAAATTTCAGACCATTAAAGGACACTATAACCCAGATAAACCAAAGACTCCTAACCAGAGTGATGAGCATCTTCCCAAAAAGTGCAGCTTGACTGGTTGTAAATGCAAAGCTGTAGTTAAAATGTTTGATGTGAGGCTCTATTGAGTCCTTATCAGTAATCAGTATAATACCTGCAGTGGAATATCAGGCTGATATTTCTCAGTGGGAACTGCTTGCTAAAGTGAAACCTAGACCACAATGGTTCATGCAAATTCTGGTTATGAAACTATGCACTCACTTCTATTTAAAAAAGATAAGTTACATAAAAGTTTATAGTTATTTAAACTGAAGACAAAGTTGCCCTAAAGTTTTGTTTCAGTACCAGTCCAAGGGAGTGGCCTGTAAAGGAAATGCTCTTCTATTGAAGGTCTTTTTTTTATCAGAAAGTTACTCTGACTGAATATYTTCACCATGTTGCTGAATATACAGTAACCTGTTTAATATGAAGTATTATCTAGATCAAAGATGGGCAATCCTGGTCCTTTTTTCCCTGCTCCAACACACCTGATTCAGTCATTGAATTACTTCCTACAAGTTCTGCAGAAGCCTGTTAATCACTCAGTCATTCAAATTAGGTGTGTTGGAGCAGAGAAACAAGTAAAATATGCAGGGCTGCGGGCAGCCCTCGAGGACCAGGATTGCCCACCCCTAGATCATTACTGGGAACAGACTGCCGTCAGCTTGTTCTTTGGTGTACATGAACAAAACATTTGCATAAATACCAGATTGATACAAAGTGACAGTAATGTAAAGGGTTAGAAAACAGAATTTGCATGAAACACTAAGGAGGAACACTTCCAAAAATCTTCTTTTCCAAACTGATGATGCTCTGAGTGATTTCTGCGTGATAACTAGTAAACTCTACAAACCACCACTTAAAATAAACCTGAACTATTTATTTAGCAAAACATGAAACAGAATTTATACAGACTATTGTGTTTTGGTGTTTAGGGAACGTATGTTTTAGTCCTGGTTAATCTGTGTCAGTAGCGGCAGGTGTGTGACTGTGACCTACTAACGTTTGACTCCTCAGCCGTAAACGTGAGCGTGAGTGAGCACTAATCTTTATTGTTAAGCTTTTGTAAGCACATTAATGTTCGCACCAGCAGGTGGTGTGTGTGTTTGTTCAGGGGTTTTTTAAGTGTTCACTTGTAATAAATAACAAGCTCAATATATTAACATCACAACAATGCATGATTGTCTTAATATAAAATTAGCAGATATTACTAATGTTTTATGTCTCCCTTATGTGAACTACAACAGTAAATATGATTAAAATAAGCACTGGATTTATCTCTGAGTTTCATCTTTTTAGGTTATTATAGCCTTGGTCCTGCACATTTTTATTTTATAAAATTTACATTTTGGGATGCACCAGCCGAAACCAGCTCGTTTTACAGAGATCACCTGAGGGGTTTTTCCAGTTCTGTGAAGTGTAGTAAAAAGAGTTTTCCACGGGTTAAGGGTGATGATTGAACACAGTGACTATGTTAAGGGCCGGAGGGTGAAATTGGACATTGGTGAGCAGGTTTTTCAGTAACAGAATCACCTTTTTCTGGTCTGATTGAAGGGTTTGGGTTTGCTTGTGATATGCGTGGGAGTTTCTGGAGGAAGGGTGTGGCCTGACTGTGACAGTGATATCATGTCAGGGAGCTGAAACTGATGGAGGTCTCTTTGTAACCTCATATATAGGAGGAGCATGAGAGAGCCTGTGAGCGCTGTGAAGCTTTGTGTCCAAACACTGGAGATGATATAACCAATATTGTTTTTATTGATTTTCACTTGTCTGGTTTGTTTCTGTGTGGGCATGGTTGCTTTAATTTAGTTTGAAAGGAAAGAGGAAAATAAGCTGAGCTTCTATTAGCATACAGAGAAATATCAGTCATCATCAGTTCCTGATCAATACCTGTTAATGACAGATGTTGTCGAGTTTAAATAATTAATTCATAGATTTTAAATGAACTGGTGGTACAAATTAGATTTTCTTCATGAGTTTTTATGAAAACACACAAAATTAAATCTCACCTGTGTAAGTAAAATAAGCTTCTGTGATGATAGGCATTGTTTCCCTTCTATTATTATTTTTAATATTATCATATTCATTACCAGCTGTGAGAACAATTTATTGAAAATTTACCATTTAAATGATATCAATGTTGCAAAAGACTGCAATAAATCATGTTGTTGTTGTTTTTTTTTTTAGTTTTTCAAGGCCTTTCCAGGAAAACTTCTCATTGTATCTGCCAGTTGTTTAACAATGAACTCAAATGTGTATTTAATCCTTTAACTAAATAATAATAAAAGGTAATAAACCAAGTTACAACTGAAGGACTCTCTTTACAATAGGTAATCTGAAATAAAAAAATGTTTTTTGCTATGAACTTTTGGTTAGTGCGTCATGATGAAATCCACTGGTCAAATTATGAAATTTATCCATCCATCCATCCATCCATTTTCTTCCGCCTATCCGGGGTCGGGTCGCGGGGGCAGCAGCTTCAGAAGGGAGGCCCAGACCTCCCTTTCCCC